TTTGAAGAGCCATTGAAAATATGTACATGTTGTATATTGAAAAATTAACTTGGTATTTAGGCTGTCAGAGCCATGGCAGTGTATTTGCAGCTTTTTTTAGCAAAATTTTATGTCCAGATTGTTCAGCTTGCTGATTGCCTCCGGTGTGGTATTGTGCGAGTCCACAGGGTTCCATTAAACGCACAGAGAAGGCGTTCAGAGATGAAATGGTTCAAAGTTTGAAAAGGGGTGCCATAGTCACAGTGCAGTGAGCTAGTTCAGCCCCATCAGTGTAACAAATCCACATTGGCCACGTCCTGTCCGGATTCAGTTTAGAGAAGACCAAAAGATGTCTCGGGATATCAAAGCCAGCTGATCTAATGCACCCATGTAAATTAACTGACAAATAGGTTTCATTTTCTTAAATCCTCTGTAATAAAGTGTGGCTCGAAATATTTATAAAACTGTTCACCTTGATGTTACTCTTTCCAAGCTTAAGGAAGTTCCAAAATGACAAGGTAATTTGGCTTTCTATAAATGAAGGTTCCTTCTGGGCAAGTGTTCCCAGCCACAAGGTTGGTATTACTGGGAATGCTTTATTGAAAGTGTCTGCAGACACGTCCTCAGTGGAATGGGAATAGGCACCAAACTACATTTATTCCAGTGTGTTGGTCTTACGTTTAACCGCCATGGTTTAGGGAAGATAAATTCTGAATGCTGAATTCTGTCACTCGTACAGGAGCTTTTGAGCACCAAGATAGCTGTTTATAAATGTTATGTACAAAACGCTGCATTTAGAAGTTTAACACTTTGAAGTGGAGTGCACAAAGTGGTATATTCTTAAGTTGCCTTTGAAAACTTAATTCAGCCTCCTTACGTGTATGCCTTATGATAGGATAATCTCACAGCTAGCGCAATTGAATGCTTCCCTGAAGAATGAAAGAAGAAGGATTTTTAACTGATTATATCACTCTGCAAATACACTTTAACATTGGTAATATCCTTCTAAGGGCTCATCCTTGTACAACTAATACTCCTACGAAGGCTTCATTTTAGGGTGCAAAATCAGCCCAAGGATGCTTCTTTTACAGAAGATTTCTTCTGAAATAAGTGATAAACTCTTCTTATTGTACCACTGTACAAGGCATGCAGCATTTTATCTTATAGAAAAAAAAAAAACAAGGTACTTGGTGCTTGGAGCTCACGATCTGATGAGTACTACAATTCCCAAAACAGATAGGAGTTGAAAGCATGGTTGAGATGCCAGGCTGTGGAAATTAACTGAGCAAAGCATCATAGAAATGAATATTAAAAGGGTTGCCCCGTCCAGGGTGTAGACTGTAGAGCAGTTTTTTTAATTACCTAGGATACTGCCTACCTACTACAATGCCTTCCCTGTGATAACACAGTACTCTGGGGTGTTTTCTCCAGCAGCTGAGCTGGGCCGAAGTTTTCCATATAATTGTCATTCTGTTGAGTTAAGGAAGCAATTGAAACCAATTTCATCCTCTACAAACTACCCTTATTTAAAATACATTAACCTTTTTTTGTTATGCTTTGTGCTACAGGAAAGGTACTTTATGCTCACCAATTTCAGTAGGGCAGACGCTTCACAGTGCAATATAAAAGGCACTCGCTTCTATCAGAATAAATACATGCATGTATGCAATTAGTATTGGATCAAGTTGAGAGATTTTTAATGCTGTCCTACAGTATGCTACTTACCTTTGCTAAGAGGCACAGTGCAAAGCAATTTAGACATCTCATTGCAGATCCAGAGTTTGAGTCTTGTTCTGGGTTTGTACCAGTAGCCATTTCTATTTGACCCAACTGTAAATGAGTACTTGGTCATTTGGGCTGCAGAGTCCAGGAAACGGGGATGTGATGGTAACCCT